AGTAATAATAGTAATTTACTCATTAAATTGTAGTGCATGTTATATATATGTTATTATAATCACTGTTCTGTTACGGTTAGGAGACTGTAAGTTGTAGAATGGTTCATTAATCTATCAGCATTATAAGCTGATAAGCATGTAGCTTGCATTTCTTAAGCTAGAAAGACAAACTATTGTGCCTTCTAAAGTAAATATTTTTGTATCTTACTTTTATAAAAAGCTTATTGTCTCATAGCAAGCATAAAGTAACGGAGGGAAGGACAAGGATCAAAGAGTCAGGAGCGAGAATGATACAGAGTATGCAAGATGGACATCTGGAGATGCCTGGGCACTGAGCTGCACACTGGGACTCGAGGTCTAAGGACTCATTGGAACTATGGACAGGAAAGCACCTGGCAACTGAGGCGAGCCCACAGAGAAGCCAACCAGAACCAGACCTGCAAACTCAGATCCAATAGAAGAACAACAAGTGACAATGGGAGGGGAACTGATAAGGGAATAAAAATTACTGCTTTTGCTTACTGTGCTTGCGTGCCGTGAGTGGAGCAGGGGTCTCCCCGGCTGCCCAGCATGCTGTTTTACTTATTTACATTTTATATAAACCTTCAATAAATTTTATTACTATATTTCAACTCAGTTTCATTTTACTTATAACAGGGATATGGAGATCTCTGTGTTCCCCAGAGGACAGGCCATTTATACTGAGAGCTGGAGAGTAAAAGAGTGTGATGGCACCTGAAGGTGGCTTGGTTACCTAGCTGGCTACCTGGTTGGTTACTTAGTTGGTTACCCAGCTGGTTACCTGGTGCCCCAAAGTCCACTAGGTAGCTTGTTCCCAGTCTTGTCAGAGGGCTGTTGTGTATTCAGTGTGACCTTGAAAGGCTGGAGGGTTGGGTGGGAGGAAACCTAAAGAGGTGCAACAAGGGCAAGAGTGGAGTCCTGCACCTGGGGAGGGATAACCCCAAGAACCTACTAGAGAGCAGCTCTGTGGAGAAGGACATGGGAGTCTTGGTAGATGACAAGGGGACCATGAGCCAGCCATATGCCCTGGGAACCAGGAGGGCCAATGGGATCCTGGGGTGCACCAGGAACAGTGCGGCCAGAAGTTCAGGGAGGTGATCCTGCCCCTCTACTCAGCCCTGCTGGGGCCACATCTGGAGTGCTGTGTCCAGTCTCCTCAGTACAAGAAAGACAACAAGCTACTGGAGAGGGTCCAGGGGAGACCACAAAGATGATTAAGGGTCTGGAGCATCTTTCTGATGAGGAAAGACTGTGGGAGCCAAGCCTGCTCAGTCTAGAGAAGAGAAGACTGAGAGGGGATCTCATAAATGCATATAAATATTTTAAAGGTGGGTGTCAAGAGGATGGTGATTTGGCCAGAAGGGACCAAGAGACACCACAATCTGACACATCATGCTCTCAAGGCTTTCCACCCAGTCCTGAGCCACACTGGCTTTGCTCTGCCTCCCCCCACAGCATCCCTTTCCACCCAAATTGCAGGCCAGAAAATCCCTCCCTATTTCCAGCACTTTCTTCTCTCTCCTGCAGTCAACATGTGCCATGTGAGCAGGAAAGGAGCAGTCAGCAGCAGTGACTGTGGGGCAGGTCAGAAACCACTTATATTTGTCACATTAAAATGATTTATTTTTCCTAAACTGTGTTCTTTCAATGTGTATGTTTTAACTTGCATGTACATGTATTTTACACTTTGACAACTGAATTTTACATCTTAAAACAGACTGGATCAGGCCAGAGCCTTCAAACCCACATCAATCTTGTTTAAACTCTCTTACTGGAAGTCCATATATACCCTTATGTCATGAACATTTGTGTTCATGAACAATTGTGTACTGAAAGCAGAAGGAGTAACAATGGTCATGGACAGAATAACATTATAACAAGAACGTTTTAGAAAGAAAATATTTGGAACTGTTTTTACACATTTAAAAAACAGAGCAAATTTTGAAAGTACAACAAGTTTCTCAGACTTTGCTGAAGAAATAAATATCCTTTACTGTTGAAGTACTCCTGGGATGTTGTAGTTCTTGTGATTGATTTTATATCAAAAGACCATTTGGGTCTGTGACAAACTGTCAGAGGGCCCTGCAAGGAGGACAAAAAGCCTTGGCTGTAGTCTAATCTAGCTCTGGAACTCCACAGAGACTCAACTTTAAGTTTCAAAGCCCACTTGCTATCTTCAGAAAGAGTCTGAGGCTTTGCTTTGGCCTGTGATTATCAGCAAATCATGTTTCAGACTTGAGATGCCCTGAAAAAAGCTTACAACCCTTATTTACAAGCTGAACAAGATCCACAAGACTTCATATGTTCTTCTGATCTACAGCAGAAGTTAACCCTGCCTTGCAAGAACAATTCTCTGGGCATGGATGACCACAACTTCACACTGATGACATGTGAGAGAAGTTGTCTTCCCTAATAGAAATGCTGTCGTTGTAAAACCTGTATGTCTGCAAGCTGGAGTCCTTGAACAAGGATGGGGAGTCTGAGGGAGCAGTGCAGAGGGCCCAGCCAAAGATACAATGCAGTAATGCACTACAGTGAGGAGTAGGCTCTTTCAAATCAGTAAATCCCAGTGGGATTTGCTCCATTATAGGATTTCTTTAGGCTGTAGAAAAGCTGGAAGGCTTGCTCCCAACTGTGCGAAAATCACTTCTACCAAAGTGATTTTGTCTGGAAGGTACAGGAAAGCAGGAATCAGTTCTCCTCAAGTTGCCTCCTCTGTCCATTTGACTGGAAACTATCCTAAAGTCCTAAAGTTTCTGAAAATTTGCTAATGGGACTTCTTAAAGAAAATAAGCCTACATCAGATAACTTTTGTTGCCAACTGAGGGAGAGAAGCACATCTGGAAGCTTATTGATAGCAGAATAGGTCTGGGTGGATGGTACAAGTTTCAACAAAAGTAGCTTAAGAATACAGAACTTGTACTGTATGTCTGTCTTCAGGGTGTAGACACTCAAGGTCTGGAGCATGTGCCCCACCTGGAGTTCAGCTGACTCAGTCAAGCAGTTTTGATGGTCAGCTCCTTTGCCAACATGAGCTGTTGAGAAGAAAGCAAGAAAAAAGGGCCTGTCCCCACTGTTACCCAACTTGCCAGCTGAGCACTGACTGTGCCTGATCCTGGCCCCTCTCTCTGGAACCGGTCCTGACCCTGAATTACCTCCCAGCATCCTGGTTCTGTGTTTGTGAAGTCACTGCTCCTGCCCACCCTGCTGGTGCATTTGGCTCCCAACTCCCCTTCCCTGGAGCAGCAGTTGGTCTTTGCTGCTCCCTGGCAGGGCCCTCCATGCTCAAATCTGCAGCCTTAAGAAACCAGTGGAAACACAGTGCCCTGAATGGTTCCATGGATTTGTACCCAGAGCCACAGTCTCTGCACACCTCAGTTCCTCTCCTTTCTGAGCTTGCACTTCAAAAGAGGTCCAGATTCAAGGGGGCTGACATCCTTCAGAGATGCTCAGAAGAGAGATACTGGAGGTTCAGCACCTGAAAACCATTCACTGGCACAAAGTCATGAGCCTGTGAGAATCTTCAACTATGCATCCAGCTGGACACAAGTTTTGGGAAGGTGAAGCTGGATTCAGAGGTCAGCAGCTCAGTGTTTGTGGCCCTTTTTGACCAAGTGTGCCACTTACTCATCCCCTGTGCCGAGGAAAGGATGATCCAAGAGGCAAGAATATGTTCCCTGGATGCTCAGATGCAGCATGTAACATCTATACCTGGGACTCCTTTGGCTACCCATAAGCATCAGAACTATTGAAGACAACATGGGGTGTTCCACCAGTTTCTGAAGGTCGAGTCATGGGTCTCATCTGCTAGCAGCACACAAATGTTGGTCACCCTCTTCCTCAGAGACACTGCGATAGAACTTGAACAAAGGCAGAAACTGGAAAAAGGCATCTTGAACTGCCTGTGCTGGCCACAGCTGTCACACTGCCAGCACAGCCCTTGGAGTGGTCTGATCTGAGAATCACACCAGTCCTGCAAGGCAGAGTGGGGGAAGCTGCCCAGGTCTGCTGGAGAAGCAAGAGCTCAGTGCTGGGAGCAGCATATCTGAAGTCAAATGCAATTTGGCCCCTTGAGTGTCTAGAGACCAGCAATGAGGTGGGTTGTCTCAGCCAGGGAGGGAAGAGTGTGGGCTGGCTGGGAGGAAGGAGGAGATGCACCATCCCAATTCAGCAGGTGAGAAGAAACACTTGTCTGCCAATTCTTCCCATTCCTCAGCTGGCCAGCAGGCCAGTTTTGCTTCTTTGCAATTCAGTGTCCACTTAACAGCCTGGCACTAATCAGTGAATGGACCTCCAAATGTGCAGCCAGCGCTGCAGGCCTGGCAGGGACAGGTTCCTGGGGTTGGAGTGCCACCTCCCTGCGTGACACAGACGAGACTGCTCTGATTGCAGGGGCCCTTGGCAGCCGCTGCCCATTGTGTCAGATGTGAGGACAGGGTGGAAGGGCCCGGGGGCGGGGGCAGGTTCGGCACACCCGATCCTGCCGGTGCTCTGCAGTCCCGCCCGTGGCCGTGCCCGGATCGACCCGCGCGGGGGATGCTCAGCCCGTGGGTGCCGCGGCCCGCAGCGCAGCGGGGAGGGGGATCCAGGGACCCGGTCAGACCTCTCCGCCGGGGTGTCCCTCACCCTTCCCCATCCCCCAACCTCCCAGGCTCCCCGATAGCCAAGATCTCCACAGCCCGCACGGAGCTCAGCGCCGGCTGCTCGGAGGTTTGCAGCGATCTGTCTCCGCCCCCAGCCCGTCGCTCTGTCCGGCTGCGCTCGCCTCTCCCCATCACAGTCACCGCTCAGCTGATGTAGCACTGCATCTCCCTGTCTGCCTGGACACCTCTCGCTCTGTCTTTCCATCTCTCTCTCCCTCCCTCTTCCATCTCTCCCTCCGTCAGTCGCTCCCTGCTGGCTCTGGCCTTGGTTCTGGTGAGTGTTTACTTGGTTGTGCTTCACCTCGTTATTCTGATCCTCTTCTCTGTGAACTGTCCTTGTTTACATGGAGAGCTGGTGCTTCATCAGTCCATCCCCCTGACCATCCCTCACCCTTTTCCCCCCAGGACTTACACCGTATTTGCTCTGGCTGTCCACTCTGTCAGTGTGATGGCAGGGTAGGGATGTTTCTGGTGCTTCCCACCCTAACATCCGAGAGCAGAAATGGGAAACTGAGGCGTGTCTGAACCAGAGAGATTTATGTGGAAGGGTTTGGGATGGAGGCCATTCCCTTACACCTTCTGGCATTGGCTTGAAGACAGCCAGATATCACACCTTCCCCCACTGCCTTTCAGGGAATCGCTCTGCAATCATGGAATGCCTGAACCTAACCTCATTTCTCTCTTCATCATATTCCCATTATTATCTGGACTTTCAACCTGCCCTCACGAGCTACTCCATGAACATATCCTCACAATAGCTATCCCTTGTGCAGCTGCACTCACACAATACTGTTTGGGATGGGTACCTGCCCATCCATCCATTTCAACTAAAATTCTTATGTCTCTCTGACTGTCCACCCATACATCCATCTGTCCTAAAATAGACCTTAACTGCCAGTCCCTTCCATCCATCCACCCATCCATTCACCTATCCAGTCTTTCTTTCACACCTTCTCCCCTTGCTCTCTCTCATTTCTCTGGTGAATAAAAAAGGTGGACATGAGCTAGCACCCTGTGCTGGCAGTTCAGAAAGCCAACTGCATCCTGGGCTGCATCAAAAGAGGTGTGGCCATCAGGTTGAAGGGGGGGATTGTCCCCTTCTTCTCTCTCCTCATGAGACCCCACCTGGAGCACTGTGTACAGGTCTGGGGTCCTCAGCAGAAGAAGTCATGGACTTCTTATAGAGGGTCCAGAGGAGGTCTTGCAGATACTCAGAGTGCTGGAGTACCTCTGCTCTGGAGACAGGCTGAGATAGCTGGGGGTGTCTAGCCTGGAGAAGAGAAGGCACTGGGAAGACCTCGTGGCCTTTCAGTATTTAAAGGGAGCTTATAAAAACAACAAAGTGCAACTTTTACATGGGCAGGTACTCTGGTAGGACAAGGGAGAATGACTTTAAACTAGAAGAGGGGAGACTGTGTTAGACATTAGGAGGAAATTCTTTACCCAGAGGGTGGGGAGGCCCTGGCACAAATTGCTCAAAGAAGCTGTGGATGCCCCATCCCTGGAAATATTGAAGGCCAGATTGGAGAGGGCTTGAACAATTTTAAACCATTGATAACTCTGTGATTCTTCAAGATTCTCCCATGGTGGGGATGTGGTGCAGAGACACTCCTGGTGACATCTCAGTGCTAATGAACAGGCATATCTCAATCCCTGGGTTTTCTCTGGCAGGGCACAGTGGGTTGGGGCTTTCCTCTATGTTTGTAGGGATGGGCAAATGACAAGGATCATCAGATAGGGGCTGCCTGGTGTGGATCTCTCCTCTTACATAAGACCTTCCTTCTCTGCAGGTCTCCAGAAATGTGGCGTCAAAGCTTTGGACTTCTAGGAAAATCCTACACCCATGACAGTGAGCTGGGGATCAGACAGGGATGTCTGGGGGATGTGGGATGCTCCCAAAATGAAACAAAGAAAGGAGGAGGTTGGGCAGCCTTAGAGGGAAATAGCTGGACTGGATCTTCCCAGAGTGAAACTTAGATGGGAATGATCAAGAGCATTTCCACAGAAAATGGATGGGAAACAGAGACCTGGAGGAAAAGGGAACTTGAGAGGATGGGAGGCAGACACTGTTCTGTGCCAGGCTCACACTGTACCCTTGCTAACATTGGTCACCTGGTTTTGGTTTCATGGGTGGGACCACCTCCTTGTGTCCTTCATGTGTGCCTGATGGAAAGTTTGCCTGTCTCTCTACAGCAACGGGATCCTTTTTGCTGGGGAAGTGGCTCTACACGTCCCTGTACTCAGTGCCTCTGTGTAGTGCTGTGGTAGATGTTGCTATCCAGGATTATGTGGCTGATGTGGCCTCAGAACTCACGTACCAGAACAAGAGTCCCATCTCCACAGAAGTCCTCTTTGCCTTCCCCTTGGGCCCACAGATGTCCATATACTCCTTCCAGGCCTGCAGTGAGGATGCCAAGGTCCAGGCCATGCTGCAGGATGAGGTACGAGCATCCAGGCACGAATGGGCAAACCCCCACAAGGGTGTGGGAGGAGCAGCCCATGGTCTGCCTGGTGATCAGCTCTCTGTGCTTCCCCTTCCCACCCAGGCCCAGCAGCTTCATGAAGCTACAGGGAGCTGGGAGGATCTGGAATACCTTCAGGATCAGTCTAGGTACCCAGGCGAGGTGTTTGCCTGCTTCCTGGGCACACTGTCCCCCGGCAGGGAGCTGGTGGTGTCGCTCCGCTATGTCCAGGAGCTGCCACGGGAGCCTGATGGAGCAGCGCGGTTTGTGCTGCCACGCACCCTGCACCCCTACACAGAACTCCATGGTGAGTGAGCCTTCAGGGAACCTGCCATCCCAGTCACACACCATGTCAAAGGGACACAGGGTCCTCATGTATTTATGAACAGACCTGATGCAACTTCACTTTACATCCATAGGGGACCCACATTTTTCCCCCATGCCGCCCCTGGGCAGATCCACATGACCTTCCTTGTACCCCAGGAGGGGATCCACACTTCCCATACACATTTCCCTTAAACAGACTCATGGACCCCTCTAAGCACTCACTGATAACCCCCAGTTGTCTCCATATGTCATATATACGAATGCCAAATGCTGTCCACCTGCCCACTCCTGCAGGGACAGCCTGTGCCCTACCTAGTACCATGTTTCTCCTTGCAGCCTGGAACTGTCTCAGTAGCCAACTGCCCTACAGCCTGCTGCTCACAGCTAGCCTGCAGTCCCCCCGTGGAGTGGTCGATGTCCAGGCCAACTGCTCCCTCACCCCTTTGATCTACACTGCCCAGGACCGCAGCACTGCCCAGGTTTGCTTTCCTGCATGTAAGGATCCCAGGGAAGCTGGGGATGTATGTCAACACTGAGAAACAGGGGATGGGATGAGAAACTGGGATCAGTGCCTGTGCTCTTGGTCCAAAGATGAGTCTGGTCCCTACTGTGTATCACCAGGCATCTGTTCTTCAGGTCTCACTGGCTGGCAGCCCCCCAGGACAGTGTGATTTGGAGCTACTGGTGTATTTTGGAGACCCCAGTGCAGTCAGTGCTGTGGTGGAGAAGGGAAACCCTGAGGCCCCTCCAGGTGAGTGCAGCTGGAGAGGGAATATGAGGGCAGCTCTGACAGAAGGCATAGGGACATAGTGAGACACTTGGGATTCTGGGGGATAAGAAGTCACTGGACACTGTTTTGGAAATGGAAGGCACTCAGATGGAATCAGCTGGGTCCTGGGTTGTCACTGTGGAATGCTGGGGAAACTGTGATGAGGTATCAGATACAACAGGATGTGTAACAGGAGGTTTTATGTTAGAGATCACTGGCCAGCTCTGTTGGAGGCACTGGGTTGAAATACATGAGCTGTGCAATTTGCAGACAGTGCAGCAGTGCATTGAGGTACCAGTGTGGGGTATCACAGCCTCTGGCATGGGGGAAGCTGAAAGCACGATGAGAGTCAGAAGCAGGATGAAGAGGAGGGTCCCTATCTGGCCTTTATCTCATTCCTCTCTCCTCCAGGCTCCCTGCTTGGTGATCCCATGGTTTTGGTGACACTGGCACCCAGCATCCCTGAGGCAGTGCCTGGGCAGCGCCAGTCTGGAGAGTTCATCTTCCTCCTGGACACCACTTTCCTTGAGCATGCCCAGGTACCCTTGCAGAGCACAGACCAGGGTAGAGAAGCAGGTTGACAGCCAGAGCAGGCATTTAGAGAGGGACAGAGATGTGAGTAGGGGCTGGTGGGACTACTTGAAATGGTCCTGAAATATCTTGGGTGCCCAGGGGACTTCAGTACACTGTCCAGAGGGAGTCCAGAGGCTTTGGGAGGATGAGTCTATGGTCAAAGGTATCCACTACCCCCACAAGTGCCTCCCATGACCTGCCTGCTGTGTCTTTCCACAGGACTCCCTGCTCTTCCTCCTCAAAAGCCTGCCTCTGGGTTGCTACTTCAACATCTACTGCTATGAAGCAGCATCTGTGGGCATCTACCCGTGAGCAAACATGGGGCAGGCTGGGTGCTGTGGGTCTGCAAAGGGTCCTTGTGGGTATGGTTGGATACTGTGGGGCATGGCTGGGTGCTGTGGCACTGACGTGGGCACTATGGGGCAGAGTTAGAAGCTGGAGGGCAGGTATACATGCTCTGAAATTGGCTAGCGAGTATGGGGCAAGGTTAAATGCTGGAGGGCATGAGTGACTACTCAGGGCAAGGCTGGATTTTGGGATGGCATCTTGGCTTTATGGAATAGCACCTCTTGGGGTTCTGTTGAGCAGTCCTGTAGGAGTTATGAAACAAGGTTTCTTCAAGAACTAGTGTGGGGTAGGGACTTGCAGAGGAATCTGGGGCATAGCTGTGGGAAGTGCTGCAGAGCAGAGTTTCAGAGAGAACTAGGGAGGGCACAGAGCTCCAAACATGCTGTGCTTCCTGCAGGCAAAGTGTTGAATATACTCAAGACAACGTGACTGAGGCCATGCAGCTCATCCCTTCCACTGGCTCCACTCCGGGTGACACCAACCTGCTCGGGACCCTCCGCGCTGTCCACGGCACCCCCCGCCCCCCCGGGCATGCACGCCAGGTTTGGGGCAGCAGCATGAGGGGCAGGGGGAGGTGTCCTGGGGAGAGAGGACACACCAGTGTGGGTGAAAGGACCCACCAGAAGTATACTGGTGTATGTCAGGGAATGGAGAAGTGGGTCTGTAACTTTGGGGGTTTCTGTCCCTCAGTGAGTATCTCCCCCTAGTTTTTGTACAGGGCCACTCTTCTTGGCTCCTCTCTCCAGTTTAAGGGCCTGCTTTCCCCATTTTCGGGTTCCTGTGGAGGACCCCACTATTCATGTTTGCTGTCTCTCAGCTCTTCATCTTCATGACTGGGCTACCCTCTGACAAGGAAGCCATCGCAGCTGAGGTCTGTCGGCATCGCAACAGCCACCGGTAATGGGGATTCTCTGTCCTGGGTCCTCCAGTTACCTTTTGGTTGTCCAGTCATTTCCATCCCAGATGAGGGCCCCTGTGCTTTAGTGTCTGTTCCAATCCTTGAGCTCCTTCAGTATCCCAAAGACCCTTCTCAGTCAGCTCTCTAGTGCCAAGACCCCACGAAGGACTTGCTTACTACTCTCACAACCAAGGCATCCTCCCCAGAGTAAGCAGGGAGACTGAGGCACAGGGCTTGTATACCCCAATGTGCCCCCAAGCTCTGCTCCAGCCCCATGAGACTAATCCCAGTTCTATCCCAAGCCCCAGCTCTCCTCTGCAAGCTCCCTATCTAACCCCAGCTCCAACCCAGTCCCTCACTCCCTGCTCTTCTTCCTGATCCTTTGTTCTGCACCCTGGCTTTCTTCCCCCAGCGTTAACTCCAGCCTGTGTATCCCAGCATAGTTGCATCCATCTCTGGCTCTCATTTCTGACATCTTTCCCTACTTTCCCCATAGGTGTTTCTCCTTCTCCTTCTCTGAGGACAGCGCTGCCCTGGCTACAGCCCTGGCCAGGGAGACAGGGGGTGAAGCTACCTACGTCTCCTCCAACAACAGTATGACAGCTGCGGTAGGAACCCAGGAGCCCTAGCAGGTTCCCCTCTATTCAACAGACATGTTGACTTCCAATCACCACAGCACATGAACTACCCACACACAGCAATTGAGACCCAGCTGCCCCAGGAACCCAGGCACACAGACTGCCCCTGACTGTACCCCATGGACAACCCGGGGCTCTGGGCTTCTGCAGCACTGTAACCACAGATCTGGCTGTGCCCAGGGAATCCAGGTGGTGCAGGCTACTCCACACATTCCACTCTCCCCCCACAGAACCCTGACACTGGAAGCCAAGTTGCTGCAAACAATGGTGTTCTGCCCTCAGGTGTTGCAGTGCCTGAAGAGGGCCCTCAAGCCAGCAGCTGAAGTAGTCTCTCTGAGCTGGACCCTGCCACGTGGCCTGGAGGTTGAAGTGCTGGGGGGTACCCCTCAGTTTATCTTTCAAGGTCAACACAGACTTCTCTATGCCCAGATCCATGGACAGGCACAGGTGAGAGCTGGGACCACAGTCACCCTCAGCTATCTCCCAATAGCCTCCCAGTAACCACCAGTAATCTTTCAGTAATTTTCCGATATCCCCTAGTAACCATCTTATGTCCCCAGTAATCTCCAGTAGCTTCCCATGTGTTTCCAGGATATGACGGGGGCCAAGGGGGTCATGACTTTGCAGTGCAGCCTGGATGGCCAGGATGTCACTCACAGGATTGAATTCCAACTCTGCTCACAGGGAGATGGAAGGTGAGAGCCTGTCCTCAGGGAAGATGCATTCCCCTTATTTCTAACATGGACTCCAATCGAGAGGGGGCACAGATAACTTGTGCATTTCCACCTTCCACACACCATCATAAACCTTCAGAGAACCCAGGTGTCCAAGTGTGCCCTCCTTTCCTACTTTGACCCAACAGGGATAAGACCCAGGCACCTGGGCACCACTTTCCTCCAGAAAGACAAGGACCCAGGCATCCAGGTTTTCCCTCTGTCCATCCTCAGCCCTGAGGAGAGACAACCCAGATGTCCAGGCTCTTTCCTCAGTACAGAGATGATCCAGGTGCTTACCCCACTCTGTTCCCAGGCTGGCTGGGCATCGTCTGGCTGCAAGGTCCTTACTGCAGAGGTTGTTGCCCGAGGCTGCGAGTGGGTCAGGGGATGAACCCAGGCATCGTGCAGTGGAGATCAGCCTCGCCTCAGGGATCATCTGCCCCTTTACCAGCTATGTGGGCATTCGTACATCACAGAGGGTCCCCTGGTACCAAGGTAAGGAAAGCCACCAGCAGAAAAGAGCTGGTGGGGCAGCTCCATGGGATGTCCTTATTCCACTGGCACTGGAACCTCAGCCGTGGGGCACTCTCAGGTTCCTGGGGCAGGCCCCATCACCACCAGGTGCTTCTTTCCCATGTGATTAATTCGGTCCCTTTTCCTGTTTGCTCTCAAAGGGCCTCTGGCACTGTTGACACCCTGGCAGTCGCACATCTCCTGCCAGATAGTTGAGCTTCGTGGCTCGTGTAAGGACTCTTCGTGCTATCCTGTGACCGTGTGGGTCCCACCTGGCTGGCTGACAGCGGTGCAGGAGTCATGGCGTGCCCTCCGTCAACTCACCTGTGGCATCACTGCCCTGCCCAACCGCGGGGCTTGCTCAAAAGGTATGGGGCCTTCACTCAGTTGGGAGATGTAGGGAGAATGCGCTGTCTTACAGGAGGGTTATGGTGCCATGTCTTGCTCATGGTGTGGAAACCCATGAATTTTGCCTTTAATCTTGCCTTAGTTACCCTCGTATCTGAAAGTCCTTCGGTAAATACAAGGCCCAGCTCAGGGACACCCAGGGAGGGGGCAGGGATGGTGCTGAACCATACACACACGTTTGAACAAAATTTGTTGGGGTGTATCAAGAGAGCTAGGTATTGGGACATAGCTGACCAGGAATGCAAGGAGAAGAGGCAATGGTCAAGGCTGGGGATGACTTAAGGGTGTCCAGAAGGTGCTAAGGATCGGATTGCTTTGGAGACGTGTAGGGCGAACTCTGGGCAGCAAGAAGCTGCCCAAAGGAGAGCAGAAATAATACCCTGAGACATTGCACGTGTTATAAGTGAATGAAATTAGGCTGAAATATAGTAATAAAATTTATTGAAGATTTATGTAAAATGCAAATAAGCAAAACAGCATGCTGGGCAGCCGGGGAGGCTCCTGCTCCACTCACTGCACACAAGCGCAGTAGGCAAAACCAGTAACTTTTATTTCCTTATCAGTTCTCCTCCCATAGTCACTTGCTGGTTGGCTTCCCTGCAGGCCCATTTCAGTTGCCAGGTGCTTTCCTTTCCATAGTTTTAATTAGTCCTTAGTCCTTGAGGCCTAGTGTGTAGGTATCTCCAGATGTCCATCTTGGACACTCTGTATCGTTCTCATTCTTGACTCTTTGATCCTTGTCCTTCCCTTCGTCACTTTATGCGTGTGCTATGAGACAATAAGCTTTTTATAAAAGTAAGATACAAAATACTTATTCAGCCAGGTACAATAATTTGTCTTTCCAGTTTAAGAACTGCAAGCTGCATGACTATCAGCTTACAATGCTGACAGATTAATGAACCATTCTGCAACATACAGTCTCCTAACCTTAACAGAACATTGATTATAATAACATATATATGTATATAAGAATATAACATGCAATACAATTTAATGAGTAAACTACTACTACAAATTTGATGAGTAAATTTAAACTACTACTACTAATTTATTACACACAGAGGAGTAGAGAGGAGTCAGCTTCCTGTGATTTTCCCAGTACTCCTGTTCACATCTTCTCCCACAGCATATAAACCACTACCAGCATCTGTTTCTTCTCTCAAGTATGTGGATCCTACAGCATATGTGTTGTGCTCTCCAATTTTTGCACCATGGTCCACTGAAGCCTTGGCTGAGTGCCAGAAGCTGGTAGTGCTGCAGAGAGAAGATGGCTCCTGGGCCCTCAGCTCAGGACTGGCCTCTGTGCTGGAGGTCAGTGAAGCTGAAATCAAGAGAAAGATGCCTGGTGAGGTAATGGGGGAACCTCTTATGTTGACAGTGGGACAGTGGGGCAGTGGGAAAACCTTGGCTGGTAGCAACACTGGCATCCCAAGGGATGAATGAAGGGATCAGAAACCATAAGCTCCAATGGACGAGGGGAAGCAGTGAGGGGACAGGCAAGATGTCAGCAGTGCATGGCAGTCCATTGCTTTCCTATAGGTCATGGAACCAAGCATTTGGGCCACGGTGCTGGCTGTGACCTGGTTGCACAGACCTGACAAATGTTACCAAGACTACTGTGAACTTCTGGAGGCCAAGGCCGTGACCTGGCTGTGCAGCCAAGCTGGTAAGTTTTGAGCGTTCTTTTCCTGCTGATTCCCTTCTCTGTCCAGTGGGACCTGCCATGATTTCCTGTGGACACATGAAGAAGTCCTGTGTCCCCTTGCTCCTTCCACCTGTGGGCTCTTCTCCCCTGCCTGAGCCATCTAGAGCCTCTGTCCCTGTCTGCAGGGTCCCAGCTGGACAAGTGCCTGGAGGCAGCCAACAACCTCCTTGGGAGCAGCACACAGCCAAGTATCTTCAGGCTCTGAGTTCACATCTGCCTTGATACAGACCAACAGCACCTGCAGAGCTGAAAAGGGCCAGAAGGTATAACCCCAATTCACATACTGTGCTGGGATACCACTTTTGCTACCAGCTGGAGTCTTACATTACAGATTATTTCTCTGCTTATATCTTATACTGCTTGGACTGGATCTGTATCATGCTGAACTCCTCAAGAGAAAAGCTCCAATTCATCCCCTTCAGAGTGTTTAGTCTTGGTAGAGGTGGGAGTGGGAAGGAAGAATCACATTCTGTAGTACCTGCCCTTCCTGAATTAAACTTTGGCAAAATGGCTACTGGCTCCCACAAAGGTGATGCTTAGGGACATGGTTGGACCTAGCTGTGGACTTAGAAGTGCTGGTTTAACCATTGGACTCAACGATCTTGATGGTCTTTTCCAAACTAAATTATTTTATGATTCTATGGTTTCTGTTTTGACAAGAAAATACTTTGCACACTAGAAAAGATCAGTGTTTAGAGGTGTCAACAGGAGGTACCATTGCAGAGGCTCACAATGAAGGACTCCTGCTGCACCTCAGTTGCTGATTTGCTTTATCCTGAAAGTCCAGATTGTGTCAGGAACTCCCATATCTTTCCTTTGCCATGTAAACCAATCATTTTGTAAGTTAAACTCTCATCTTCATCAGACTCAGCCCATCATAAGGCTTAAAAGAGCTCAAGTGATGTGAGACTGATTAAAAAATTATCAGTATGTTGGAGGTGGAACTGCAGGAGCTCTTGATTAACAAACCAGTCATGCAATTTACTCCCTCTGCCTCTGGGTCCTTAATTCATGGGTGTCACTTCATGTTGGCAAAGTCTCTGCTTCTCTTCCCAATAAACAGTGAATCTTCTGTAATGCAAAAGGTGTGACATAGCCTTGATTTCTCTTGGCCTTATGATGCTTCCTTCCAGGGACCATCTATGATCCACCAGGAGGGACGGGAAAGGACGTCCTGTGTATTGTAATACACAAAATAAGCTGCTGCCATCGGTCTTGGAAGAGCACAGAGTTCTAGGTTAGCAGGACAGGAGCTGAGGACTTGTCAGACTTTTTCTAGACACCTTTTACCTTTATTTCAGCTTTATTCCAGTGGTTGTAGCAACCCTTTGCCCACCAGATACATGACTGATGCCTAATTTATTCTAGCTGAATTATTCTAGGAGAAAAGTTTTCAGGTGATTAATGTTGAACTTGGTTTTAGCTTTAATTTTTTAACTCCATTGGAGTTTACATCTCTGAAACTAAATGCTCTTCTCCCTTGAATATTCACCTCTGCTGTCTAGAGCAGACAGTGAAAATGTCTCTGTGCACTCAAACCAATCTCTTGCCTTGGAAGTCCGTGGGGAGACATAGGAGTCACTTTTCTCAGAGAAGCAAATGCCTTGGGAAATGTGCCCTCCCACAGGGCACATTGGGGTGCAGAAGGAGGAAAGAAGGGCACTGGCGACCTCACATTTTGGAGAGGTGAATCATGACTGTGATGAAATACCCGTAGCTTAGCTTACTTCAGCCACCAACAAATGTATTGTTTATCCAGGAAGAGGTTTTGGATTCTTCCCTCCAATATACTCCCAAGGGTGATTCATCTGATGGAACTTAATCAGTTTACATGGCCTGGAAGAATACCAGGATCTGCTTTCTCCATCCTGACCATTGGAAAGGCTGAAAAGGCAGCCCCAGTGACCGACACAGCTGCCAAATTCTGAAGGTATTAACCCCATTATGGTCTTCTGCAAGATTGGAGCTGAGTGCCCTTCTCAGAGCCTCATCAGGTTCTGCAGCAGTTTAGAAAAGCCAGTGTTTGCTGCCCCACCCCAGTTTCTCTTTCTTAGAGCAGGCTGAAATGCTTTGGAGGTTTGGGAAAGGACAACCATTGCCCAAGATGTAGAAACAGTCTGTGCCAGCTCATAACTTTCACCTTCCACAGAGATACACTTGTGCAGTGCTCCCTTCCTGAAACCCTAAGGGAAAGATTCCTGGACACTGATTACAGCCATAACATTAGGAAATGGTATCCAGCTGCTTCAGGCCCAGAGCTCCATCTGTGGAAGGAAAAATGAAAAAGTTAAACTTTTTACTGTGAGAGAAAGGTTTTCAGACTGAATAGGGAGGGAAGTGACATGGGACAGAACAGGTGACAGCCAGGCCTGAGTCTTCATTTCCAGGCACCACCACAGGAAAGGTCCTCATGCTCTTCATTCAGTGTTGAATGAGGGAACCTCTCCTAATAGGACTTGTCATCAGTGTCTTCAGACACAGTTCATCCTGGCCTGGGGAAAAGTTGTATTAAACTTTGGGACCATCACTTTTTTGAACAAATTTTTCAACCTGAGACTTTTATGGACCACCTGGGCGCTTTCCCATCTCCCTGTGAAAGCTCAAAAGTCATAGGAAGAAAACTAGCAGTAATATCATTGTGCTTACCCACAACTGTTACAGTTCTACACCTTTTTGCTTTGTCCTAGTGAATTTTCCCATGCCAACATCTTCTTGCTAGCAAACTAAGATGCTGTTGTTAGGTGAGGCCTGGGCTTAAGGACTGCTTCACTGGACTGCTAAATAACCTCGACACAGCAGGTAAGTTGCGTGAGGGAAAGCCCATCCCCTGTAACCACCCCTGGGGGAGGGAGGGCTCAGGAGACACCGCCCCCTCCCCTCCAACAGCGCCCCCTGCCAGCCGTGGTTACAACTGCCCCGAGAGGCAAAAAGGACTGAATTGTTTTGGGGGGCAGTCTGGTTACAGGATTGGTTACAGGATTATTGCTTGCTTCTGTTGTGTTACCTGTTATAAGTTAGTATAAGAATTTAGACAACTCAATTCCAATTATAATAATGGCCAGTCTTCGCGAGCGAAGATCTGGGGAAGGTCTTTACACCTTCCAGCCTGTGCATTGGATTTTTTAGGTGAGACACAGTGTGCGCGGAACTGAGCCCACCCTTTAATCCTAAGGTTCATCTGCCGGGGCCAAGCGAGCTTGGACGGTGGCAGCGAGGTCCTTAGGACATAGATGGGTTGCCTTTTTAAGGGTTAACGAGCTCCATCTGCCCAGGAGTGGCCCTGACCGGGAATCAAACCCGGGTCTCAGCGGTGACAGCGTCGCGCCCTTACCACTAGACCACTAGGGGCTCCTCAATTCCAATTAAACATTGATAAATTTATTAAGCAAGCAATAATAAAGCAAAACAGCGCTGGGTGGCCTGGAGGGCAGTGCCCTGCCAAGGCACACACCCAAATAAAGTCAGTGTCTCTTTTTATACACGTTCGTGGTTGTTAAGTACATGTTAAGTGGTGTCTGGCATTGGCTTTTCGGATGTAAATTTGTTTGTTGCTTGAGTTTGGTGGCTGGGTAAGTGGTCGTCTGGTATTTGTCAGAGATGAAAAGGTGCAGTTCTTATCAGTTGTTTATTGACACTTGCTTGATTAGCAAGCTGTCTGTGAAACTCCTCTTGTTTAATTACAACAAAAAGTTTCTGACTCCCTCATACACATAAGATTTTATGGACAAAGTTAACCCTTCTATTACAATCCCTCTTTTTTTTTTTTTTTTTAAATAATGGTAATAAATGTATTAAAAATACATGGTTTAAATGTTAGTTTTAAAATTAATAAAATAAGAGGTTGACAACAGAGTAATTAACCAAGGTACATAGTTAAATATAGATTAGTATTTAAAGGGTTGATGATTATTAGTTATTTTTTTGTGTTTGTTTTTGAAATGCTTACTTTTAAATTATTGGTGGAGACCTTGAGGAAGTATAATTAAGGGTCAATTTTTTTTGTTGTTTGGCTTTGTCCTTTTTATTTTACGGGGTGTTAGTTTTAGTTCAGTTTATTGAGAGGCTTTGTTATATATTTACGGACCTACTCTAGTACGTCTCTGCCTCCCTTCGCCTAACTCGGTGGCATGAATCAGCGAGGTATTTTGTAATCTTCTCGGCAGCAGTCGTATTCTTCAGGGTTTATATGGCCTCTAAGTTTAAGATGTTTTGAAGGAGAAAAAAAAACCCACTCCCAAAGTATTACAGACAAAGTATTTCAATTATTATTGTTTGTTCTTTTTACTTCAAAGGGTAGAATAATTTTTTTTTCCTTAAGTGGCACTTTATAATGTGCTTCCACCAATAATTTTATAGGTGTATATACTTTATAGACATTTTTCATGTCCTTGGGACTGATAGATGTATATTGACAAACTATTCATCCTTTATGATTTAAATGGGGATGTTTTAAACAGGGTATGCTTCTAGGTATTCCATGAAGTACAGGAATATTGGTTTTTATTTTACAACAGTGGGGCAAAGGGATATGGGTTTCTATTATTTTAAAGATTGCCCCTGATTCGAGAGGAATTCTGTTTGGATGTTAAGGTATATAGTGGGTTATTTGTAAAGTATATGGAGGAGGTATTTGGAATCTTTTGTACAGCAGGGGGGATGCTTTCTTAGAAATTTTGAAATGAATCATTATTTATTCACCAGTCTTTTCCTTCTCAAGATTAATTTCAGACCATCCGTAGTTCTCTCCGTAGTCCAACGGTCACTTGGGAGAGGTTCTGTCATTCGGGAGGGATGTGTCCGTCTTTGCTTTGCAGTAGGGATCGCAGTCTCTGTTGTGTGCAGTTCCTGGAATGGATTCTCTCAACAAGGGGTTAAAGATGTTTCCTTCCCAATTCCCAGGGTTTATCCTATGCATTTTGAAATTTAAGGGTGCTGTTTGGGCTAAGGTCCCCCTTTGCTTTCTTTCCAATTCTGTCACAGCTTCTTCCACTTTTACACTGAGTTCAATTAGGATTTAGAAAGTACGAATAGTCCCAGGCTGTGAATATGCTAGTATACAGGAATTAATACAATTAGTCTCAGTCACTACAGTGATCTGTTGACAGTCAGCAGCAGGCTTTAGGTCATAAATATAATTCTGTTTAATTGGGCTGTTACATTGTCTTTTTTCATTTTAACAATATGGGTTTCAGTATAGAATAAATGCTAAAATCACTCTTTAAGGTTGTGTTTAGGAAGGAAAAAGAAAATATTTCTTTCTCTCTTCTTCTCACAATGCATAGAAATGAAACTTTATTTAGGGCAGCTGCATCTGCCCTGCCAGGTAGCCACCCATTTAGGGCAGCTGCATCTGCCCTGCCAGGTAGCCACCCCCCAGAGTTCCCTCCAGGCTAGGAACCCCCAAGAGAAATACGGTAAATAAGTTTATGGAAAAGAAACAAAAATAAAAGTATATGATTCAGTATACAAACTCCATTTTTTTTTTTTTTTTTTTTTTTAAAGATATGTTTATGTACCATACAGGGCAATATAAATAGACTAGTAATAAACAGTTTAGAAGTTATTCTACAGAGCTAGTGAGAAGAAGAAACATTTTCCTAGTGAAATTAGGGTAGATTAGGCTTGATGCAATCAATGGGCACTCAGTTCACATACATGAGGTACACAAAGTCCTCTCTCCAGGTGGAAGGGAGAAGAAGTAAAGGCGATATTAATACTGAAGTTTTTGTTAAAAGTATGGCCTTCAGTACAGAATACACATAAAAGTTATTTCCGTGTACATATTTCAAGATAACGAATAATTGGTACAACTCTAGGTCTGTGAGAATATTCAAAGGCACAGACACATGCAATGAAAGTAATATTATTTTCCCATTTAATACATTTATAAGAATTATGATTACAATAGCCCATGATATTAACAATGGCTCTACTGCATCTCCTTTAAAAATGAAGTTTTTAACAGCAAAATTATACAACATTTTCTTATGTCACACTGGCAAATATAATCACAGACTTATTATATCAGAGTTTCTAATTTCAATTCAGATTTTTAATAAAAGTATTAACTAATCAATTAACTTGAAATCCCATCTCCTTTCCCCAGTTTGTCTGGAGTGGGGAAGTACTTATTCTCCTCTTCTCTCTGACTTTCTCTTCTCAATCTACTACATGCAATTCTTTCTTTCTCTATAGATTCTAACACTGTTCTTATCTTTTCCTTTTAAAGATTACAAAAGTAACTTCCCTCTTCCTAAACCATCAAAATTAAACTTGCAGACTTTTCTTTTCATCACAGTAGACACCGTTTCTTTAGCGCGCTCTCTCTCTCCCCCCTCCCTTTTCTTTTCTCAGTTTTCGACACTGTGGTCTCAATTTTGGCACGATTTTTGTTCTTAGATTTAAACTTGTTTTATGAGAAGCTTGGTACATTTTTCCCTTTTTTTTTTTTTTTTTTAAACAATAAAAAACATTTTATTATTTGGACTTTCGGGCCAATTTGCTGAGACCTGTTCATGTATACTTTTTGGGCTTCTTTTATTAAGTTTTTGAGGCCTCTGTTTTGCTACTCACTTAATTTCTTTAGTGTTTTTTTTTTTTTTATATATATTATTTTAGGTATGATTTATAAAGTAGATTATTAGTAATATTTGACTAGTTGGGGTGTTAGGATTATTGCCTAAATATTGTTGTAAAATTTTTTTTAGTCTTTTTAAGTATGTTTTAGGTGTTTCATCATTTTTTTTTGTTCATTTTCTAATGCTATTATATTTTGTTCATGGGGGTTAGTTACTCAAAGTCCCCAGATTAATGAAGTATAATAATTAGTTACGTGTTGTTAATTTAGGGTTGAGTTATAGTTCCCACTGGGAGGGTCGTTAGATTGCATTTTCTCCCAGGTATAGATATTAGGTTTTAAAATTTGGTTTAACTGTTCTGCTACTCCCAAGAGGTTTTTTAATAATAAAGTTCTGACTTCTCTTGGGGTTGTCCACCTCTTTCTAAGAGTTTTAGTGCTTTCGGGATTTTCGCACCTCTGATCTGATAAGGCAGTGAGATCTGCAGAGGGGATGGGGGGGGGTGTAACAGGGGATTTAGCAGTGCTGTAGAAACAACAGCTGAAGGAATGTGAAGAGAGGTTTGTGGAAAGGGAGGGTTAATGAGGGATTCAGCGGGTGGGGGGGGGTAATGGGGGATTACACGGTGCTGCGGGAATAGGGACTGAAGGAGACTGGAGAGGGGTTTGTGGAAAGGGGGGGTAATGAGGGGCATAGAGGGGGGGTCATAAAGGATTTTCATTTGGGGTTTTTGGGCTTGTTGACATACCCAATCCTCGGAAGATCCGAATATAGGTTATATAATATGGGGATTAGAGAGTGACTTCTCTCCCCAAACTTCGATATAATAATGTATCAATTTTTTTTCTTAGATTCATCTTTTCTTCCTAGGGGAATTACTTTAATGTTTTATCCTTAATCCTAATGGGCTTTGTGGGGAAATATCGGGTAACTTATTCTGTTTTCCCTTCCCCATGGGATCAGAAGGCTTGCTTTTCTTCTGTCCCATCTTCTAAGGTGCCTTGAAACGTACACACACTCGCTTTCTCTTGGTCGTGACTCATTCCCTCGCGGGACATGAGAGCTGCACTACAGGAGAGTCCACACTCGCGTGGTCTCGTATCGAGACCTCTCACACAGGCACACCTTAGGATTACCCCCCAACCAAACGGCTCACCAAAAAAGAAAACTCTATACTTACCCCTCCCTGGGGTCCTCGTTTGGTCTTCGTGCACAAAATTTAAGGGGTCTGCAGATTTCTTTTGCTTTATTATCGAAATTTTACTAGGTTCATTGATCTAGGGTTTGGTGAGAACAACTTTCAGAGCAGGGCTATCCGGAGATAGGGCGCCTCCCTGTTCTGCAGGAGTTCACACCAAGCAAATTGGATTCCCGGCCAACGCACCAAAATTGTTATAAGTTAGTATAAGAATTTAGACAACTCAATTCCAATTAAACATTGATAAATTTATTAAGCAAGCAATAATAAAGCAAAACAGCGCTGGGTGGCCTGGAGGGCAGCGCCCTGCCGAGGCACACACCCAAATAAAGTCAGTGTCTCTTTTTATACACCTTCGTGGTTGTTAAGTACACGTTAAGTGGTGTCTGGCCTTGGCTTTTCGGATGTAAATTTGTTGCTTGAGTTCGGTGGCTGGGTAAGTGGTCGTCTGGTATTTGTCAGAGATGAAAAGGTGCAGTTCTTATCAGTTGTTTATTGACACTTGCTTGATTAGCAAGCTGTCTGTGAAACTCCTCTTGTTTAATTACAACAAAAAGTTTGACTCCCTCATAGACATAAGATTTTATGGACAAAGTTAACCCTTCTATTACATTACCTAAGTATATACAGACATATATTATTTACTAAAGAGCTGTTATTTTTCTTTTCCACACCTTTTCAACTGGAGCCTCTTAATTTTGAAGTTATAATTACTCAAAGGGAGGAGCTTGGTTTTTCTCATATCCCACCCTCCTTAGCAAACATTTCTGTCTCATTAAACTGAGATAACAACATTGGAAAACGCTTGGATAGAGTCTGGCCAGAGAGTTCTGCTCCTCATGCACAGGTGCTGTTATAGGTTACCAGCAATGCCTTAAAGGAATTGAAGAAGCCAATTTACAATAGCAAGCAAATTTATTAATAAGCGGTAGATAAACAATCGGCGCGCCGGGAGGGGGGGAGCTGTTTAGAACAAAAGAGAGCTCTCTCACAACTCGCCGCCGCCCGCCCCAAGCTCTCAAACGTCCCCTTTTGAACCCTCCAGGTTCCTGTCCAGACATGCTCAGTACATAGGTTCTTATCCATACATAGTCCGGGGCATGTGCTTTTTGCACATGCTCAGTTGCAAAGTTTTCCCCATGCATGTTCCTGGGCTGTGTTACCGGCGTCCGTGGTCTGGGGGTTTCTTTGTGGGCCGGGATTTCTGTGATGAAGATTTTTAGTCTTCCTCGATGTCCGCAAGATGAACCCGGCTTGGAGCATGCGCCTTTAATAGGTATTTTTCCTCCCCTTCCAGTCTTATCGTCTATATAAATCACTTTGACTCCTTGTTTAGAGGAAGCTTCTCAGTGTCCCCAGCTGGTGTAGTTTAATTACACTGCCAGACTTCCCTCCCCCCTTTATACTATATCAGCTATATCAGCCTCGGGAACAAACGGCAGCTTGTTAGAAGCAGTTAACAGCTATGTGGGAAATACACACGGAAATCACACATCAATGTCCTGAAGTTTTACTAAGCTTAACAAAAAAAAAAGAATCCCCTTTAAAATATAGTTTATTACAGGTGCTACCTGATGCTTCTTTCCCCCTTCACTCCCTGTTTACTCAGCCTCTTACTGGCAACATGGATCACAGAGTCCCAAAGCCATAGTTAAAAGCTCAGAGGAACTCGGTACTGTAGTGCCAGTTCTTCTACTGGCAGAAGGGCAGCTGACATGACATCAGCTATGTGTTTTCCTCAGTTTTTTTCATGACACAGGGTTTTCAAGATTGTTATAAATTAGTAGTAGTAGTTTAATTTACTCATCAAATTAGTAGTAGTAGTTTACTCATTAAATTGTATTGCATGTTATATTCTTATATACATATATATGTTATTATAATCAATGTTCTGTTAAGGTTGGGAGACTGTAAGTTGCAGAATGGTTCATTAATCTGTCAGCATTGTAAGCTGATAGTTATGCAACTTGCAGTTCTTAAACTGGAAAGACAAATTATTGTACCTGGCTGAATAAGTATTTTGTATCTTACTTTTACAAAAAGCTTATTGTCTCATAGCACATGCATAAAGTAACGAAGGGAAGGACAAGGATCAAAGAGTCAAGAACGGGAATGTTACAGAGTATCCAAGATGGACATTTGGAGGTACCTACACACTAGGCCTCAAGGACTAAGGACTAATTAAAACTATGGAAAGGAAAGCACCTGGCAACTGAAACGGGCCTGCAGGGAAGCCAACCAGAACCAGACCTGCAAAACTCAGATCCAATGGAAGGATAACAAATGACTATGGGAGGGGAACTGATAAGGGAATAAAAGTTACTGGTTTTGCCTACTGCGCTTGTGTGCAGTGAGTGGAGCAGGGGCCTCCCCGGCCGCCCAGCATGCTGTTTTACTTATTTGCATTTTACATAAATCTTCAATAAATTTTTATTGCTATATTTCAGCATAGTTTCATTCACTTATAACAAGATCATCCTACCTAACGGGTTGAGATGTCTAGAGAAGATCTTTTCCTCCTGTACTGCACTCCGAGGTGCTGTTGTGCTGTGGTAAGAAAAGCACTCAGACTCTGTAAGCAATTATATGTTAGGGTTTTCACTGATGATTTTCTTGCTACTCTCACTCCGGGACATTTGAGCTGGCCTTGAGAAGCCCAGGCTGGAGCAGGTGGGTGCAGGAAGGAGGCTGTGACCCCGTGGGAGGACCAGGATGGAGCAGGGTTCTGGCAGGGACCTGCAGCCCGTGCAGAGGGAAGCCCAGGCCGGTGCAGGTTTGCCCCAGGTAGGACTCGGGGGGACCACGCCAGTTCAGCTCATTCCTGAAGGACTGACCTCATGGAGGAGGGACCCACAAGACAGCAGATTGGGAAGAGCTGCTGCCCAAGGGATGGACTCACGCCAGAGAGGTCAGTCCAGGACTGTCTCCTGTGGGAGGAACCCACAGAAGCAGGGGAAGGACTCCCTCTGCAGCAGCAGAAACAACTGATCATAAACCCTATTCCCGTCCCCTTGCACCGCTGGGGGGGAGGGAGAACGTGGAAGGAAGGAGAGGTGGGGGGGAAGGTGTTTTTCAGATTTATTTCTCACTCTTTGGCCCTTATCCTGTCAGTAATAAATTTAACTACTATCCCCCTTTGAGTCTGTTTTGCCCATGCAGGTGATCAGTCTCTCCCAGCTCTTATCTCATGAATCGTTAGCTGGTTTTTTTCCTCTCCCCTGTCCAGTTGCAGGGGGGAGAGTGAGGGAGTGGCTTTAGTGGGTACCTGTCATCCAGCCAGGGGCAACCCACTACATCCCTCTAATTTCCTGCGAGTTTCTGTACTTCCAGTTTCTCCAGACAGCTTGTTATTTATTGTCCCTCTTAAGCCAGTTCCGCCTTTCCCCAAGTTGGCCCTTGTCCTGCAGATGTTCTTTTATTGATGTTATTGTAGGATCCATCCTACATTGTGATAATTAGCTGGGTACACTCATAAAGCAGTTCTGCAATCAATGTTAACTACTGCCTCACCAGCAAAAAGCCAAGTTTATTTGCACTGGACCCTCTTTCACTTACCGTGAATCTGAGATTTAAATCTTCTCTTGCTCATTAAGTTGCCTTTCTCCTGCTGACAGTAAAAGGAATTCTGTCCTTCGCACCTGGGAAAAACATACTGGGAGTAACTTCAGGCATAACAGTTGGGCTGTTAAAACCTGAGCAAATGCCCATTCCTTTTTTGTTCCATAGAGAGTAATAGGTACCTCCACGGGGCAACTCATCTGTCTGCTGGAAAGGAGTGTTCCTAGGATGAGATCTCTCCAAGAACCCTGTCCTTTTTGTGCACTACACATGGAGCCCCTACAGGGAACGTGAACACAGCTGCATGTGTGCAGAACTCTGCTTTCTCTCTAATAACATTGTCCTTCACAAACATTCCCTTGCTTGTAGGCACCCTTTCTGACAAGAGGGGAATAGAAAAATTGAAAATACTGCCTGGAAAAGGGGAATGGGAAAAGCAGATGTCACTGAGAGAGTTTCTCCTGCTAGGATTCAGGAGCACACCTGATTCCAGGTGCTTCTCCTTCTCTCTCTCATTGTCTGTGCTCAGGAACATCATCACTGTGCTGGTGGTGACACAGCAGCACCCCACCGCCCACTGTATTTCTTTTCAGTGAAAATGTGCAACTTGGAGATCTGCTAAATTTCCATCTAACATGCCCAGGCTGCTGACTGGGGACAGGACCACCTCTGCTCAGGCCTGTATGCTTGGCTCTATTTCTCTGAAACTCTTGCAGTGTTACCTGCTGGCCACCATGTCCTACAGTCAGTACCTGGCCATATGTCACCCCATGCTGTGTACAAGCAGGATGAACTGCAAGGTGTGTTTCCAGCTGGTGGCTGGTTCTTGGCTTGCAGGAATGACTAGTTCCACAATCATCATATACATCTCAAACCAACTGAAGATTTGTGGCTCCAGCCCAATTGATCACTTCTGTGATTTGATCTCTTTGTAGAGCTCTCCTCCAGTGACACCAGGTGCTGTAATGATCATCCCAGACACAGTCTTGACAGTTTTGTTCACCCTGGTGTCCTGTGTGTGCATTACAGATGCCATCCAGAGCATCCCATTGAGCACTGGGAGGCAGAAGGGTTTCTCCACCGTGTGTGAGAAATGAAAGCCTTCTCATACATCATTGTGGTCAGCATTTGTAAGGGACACTTCTGTGGCCTTCAAATAGAGATATTGTCTATTTGCTGCCTGAGAAAACTGAACAAAATTTCCTTTTTCTACACCATCCTCATAGCCCTGGTCAACCCACTGTAAGCCTGAGGAAGAGAGTGGTCAAGCAAGCCTGGAAAAGCTATCAGGGAAGCTGTTGCCTGCACTGAGAGCACACTGGCTGTCACTACGGCTACTCCTATTTCTCCTCAAGACTGTAGGGTTGATGTGGAGGGAATATATGATGTATCAGGTCTGTCTCTGAAGGTGTCTGGCTTTAAATCCCTGGGTGTTTGAGATAGTAAAAAAAAAGAATATCAAGCATCGTAGCCTAAAGGTGGTGAGACAAATGTCATAGAAAAACCTGTTTAATAGTTTGTGAAAGCCTTTGAAGTTTGGTAAGTTTGGGAAGAAAAAACTTACAGAGACCAAAACCCTTTGGTGTTTTGTTTTTGCCAGTGTAAATATTTGAAACTTCAAATGGAAGCTGATGTAACTGAGGTAAAGCCCAAAATGAGGAAAGCTTCTGTATGAAAGCTCTTAAGTCAGTTTAAACCAAGATCATCCTATTTATTTACTGTTGTAAAAAATTCCCTGGTTCTATGCTGAATCAACATGAGCTGCTGCTTTTTGCTGTCAACAGGGTTAGCTTCCTATGGGCACTGAGGAGAAAATGAGGCTGCACATGCACAGAGTTCAATTTCAGGACTTGTCCACCCATCCTTTTCGGTGTTCCCGTTTTATTCATATTCTCTCGTAAGCAGCACCTGGTGTTTTTCTTTTAGTCCACTGGAATTCCCAGGATTGTCCCAAACCAGTGCCTTGATCCCACACATTCACACTCACATCATGTGGTGGCTGTGTTCAGCCATGAGAGAAAAACACACACTATCATGCAGACTGTTTGAAGTAGTTTTCCAATTTGAGACATAACATTCTGTCAAAGCACTTAGCCAAAGTCGATCCTCCTTTTTGATTCCAATTAACTAAATGCAGGTGCAGTGACTCAGCTTGTTCCCACAGTTTACTTAATAGGCACCAAAGTCTTTATCAGATCATTAATGCTCCCCTGTTTTGCATATGTAGATATCTGCTTTTATTTCTGCATATCTGTGCAATTATGTGCACAAAATACTCCTGTCCTGTCCTGTCTGTCCTCAACTGTGCTGTCTGTTCATAATCACACAGCAATCTACACTTCTTCACAGTGAAAACAGCTTTGGCTTTTACTTTCTCTTGGCACTGAAGGAATGTAATGTTTTAACTCCCAATGGAAGCTTTCAACTTAAGTGTCAAACAAATCTCAGAACATCCAGAGCCCATCACCCACGGCCTCCCATTCAGAGCAAGTGGATGTGCTCCTTCCTTGTCCAAGGACTTCCTTCAGGAGTGCTGAGATGGGAACTAAGCAGAACAGAGACTGTGGGATACAAACCCTCTTTCAGAAGAGTAGCAGATTGACAGTTCTTCTCCAGCCACCTTGTTTTCATTTCCGATCACAACCCAAAGCTATTGTAATCACCAAGGTGCATACTGCTAGAAACACCTTAACTGGGCTGGCTAATCATCTTGGAGGACAGAAGGATGCTGCAGGCCACAGCATTTGTGAGAGATGACTGAAGCCTGAGCCCGAAAAAAAAGCTGGAGTAACCAGAGCAGCACTGCTGATTGTCCCACAAGGAACTGGGTCTGTACCTCACAGTAGGTCAGCCTGCTCTCATGGACAGGAGGCTGAAGCACATGGGAAGAAGGAACCTGCACCTAACTTACAGGCAGCACAGACACAGTGCAAGCAAACCACATTTATCTCAGACCACGTTGCTTTCATGGCTATTCCTGAAGTGCCATTTCACCTACCTCTTCTTACACTGACTGCAAGGACTATCTCCAGTTCCATCTAGACAGTCACATTCTAATTTTCCTGCCTGGAAAGTCAGCAGATTGCCATTCTATTTCCAGTGCAGACTGAGCAAAGAGGCAAGAGAGTGGACTTCACCAGTTCTGATCCTTCAGCTACTGCAACTACATTAACCTGACCTAAACCAGAAATACATGGATTGCTTTGTTCTGGATGGTTTCTTATTTCAGAAACAAAGCAGGTTTTTTTATCTGCCTGAACTACCTTTTAATGGAATTTTCTAGCCCCAATTTACATCACACTAAGAATATTTCCCCAGAAGCAGTGCTATACTGAAGGTACCTGCTCTGTGGATTTCACAGAGGGTTAAGGGAAGCAAAGGGATACCTTTCCTTACAGTATGAGATGATGAAACTGCAGTCTTCTCCATGAGAGGTACTGCTCCCCAATGCAGCCCAGGCAGCCTGGATATTCTCACTGCCCAGTCAGGGGGAACCCCCTGAGCACAAGTACCACCTCATGGGATGAACACAAGAAAACCACACTGGTCTGAGATAAGTACAATGGCAATAGCTGAAAATGCTCCTTCAGACTAAAGCAGTGACTGGCACTTTCTCACACCAAGATGAACCCAGTTTCTCCTCAGCACAAGCTCGGATGTAGTGGGCATTTAGCCAAGGCCTCAAGAGCAGTCCAGGGACCACAGTCCCATTGCACCCTTTTCCCTAAAAAAGTAGTGTTCTCCTTCATCCCTGCCACAGCATGAGGGGCATGCAACCCTGGAGGGGTGTGACTCTTGGGATTTGACTCACCTGGAGGTACCGACACATCAGCTTGGTACCAGCCACAAGAAAAGAGATGGCAGAGTCTCCATGCAATTCAGCACCCTTTGTACTCCCAGAGATAATGGATCTGAATCTCACTGCATGGTTGACATGGGTTGGAACCAACTGTGAGTGTGTGTGTGAAGAACAGCTGGGTGTACACCTGCAGGAACACTGTAAGGCCTGCTGAGAGCACCTGGCAGAGCTGAGGGCCTGTAGCTGGGCTGTCAGTCAGGGCAGAGCTGAAGGCAGCCCACCCACACCACACCCCTGGAGCCTGTCAGTGGCTACAGCACAACTCACTCTGGCCTGGAAAGCTCTAAATGGTGATATCCTGCCTGGGAGGGAAAACTGAACTCTATAAATACACGAGACTCTACATGAGCCGCCGCCTTCTCTCCTTTCCTGCAGCCTGAACTATGTGAACCATCAGATTTTGTCAGTAACCATTTTTGCTTTTCTCTCTCTCTCCTCTTTTCCTTCTCTCTCTTTACTCTTTTAATCCCTTTTCTTCTTTTACTCTTTCCCTGCTCTTGTGGGTAACAACACCAATGAACTGTGTTTCACTAAAGCTGGTATATTGATTGATTGTAGTGAGTGTTTTCTGTGGAATGGGTTTTTGTGCTGAATGTTTTAGTGAAATGCTTTTTTCCTGGTTGTATTTTACTCCTGTAAAACCCTTTGCCAAAATATCTTATTTTCCTCACTAAATTAGAAGAATTTCTCTTAGAGAAGAGTGTGTGACTCTTTCTCCAGACACTAATTTGAGGTTATAATGAACCAAAAGGCTTTTTAAAAAGTCTTAAATAAAAATATAACCACTCTAGGCATCTTACAGCTTAAAAACTGGAGTGTAACATCCTCTAAAGATGGATCTTCTCCCACAACCACTGAGAATGAGACAGGCAAAGCAGAAGAGCATAAGTAGGTTTCTATGTCATCATGGAGGAAAGACAGGAGGGAAAACTTCCATGGAAGAATTACAAAGCTGATAATTACAACCAGTTTCCTGATGCCAGCCACCTCTCAGGGAAGAAGACATTACAGCCCCAGCTGCTTTGCCAGCAGTTCACATGCACATTGTGGAAAAGGAGATATGCAATTCCACAGACACAATCCTTAGAGGGGCTTGTGCCCTTCCCCAAATACAGGTAACGCAGAGATTGCAGATGGCAGTAAGAGGGATGACTCACACTGGGAGTGCATACAGTGAGGCAGAGGGGGAAAACATCGCTCACCCTCTCTGGATGGGAATGGGGAAGTGTCCAGGGGCAGGGCTCCTCTCCTTCACCCAGGGGAACGCATGTGAGCTCACAAAAACAGGGCCCAGCCCAGCCGAGGAGGCCTCAAGACACAATGTCCTTCAGAGCTCCAGCCAGGTCAGGGAAGATGAAGTGGTAGCCACTCTCCAGGGTGCGTTTTGGCAGCACCCTCTGTCCCTCCAGCAGCATAACAGCCCGCTCTGCCCCAAAGGCAGCCCGCACAGCCCAGGCAGGCACTGGCAGCAGGGCTGGGCGCCCCAGGGCTGCAGCCAACTCCCGAGCAAAGGTGCCATTGGAGGTGGCAGGGGAGGATGGGGCGACACCGTTGAGGACACCTCGCAGGCTCTCACTCTCCAGGGCGTGACACACGATCCCAGCCAGGTCCCGAATATGGATCCATGGGAAGGGCTGCAGCCCAGAGCCCAAGGGGCCTCCAAGTCCCAGACGGAAAGGCCAAAGCATCTGAGAGATTGCACCACCACCTCGACCCAGCACTACACCTGTGGGGACAAGAGAGTGATACCAGGTCCCCTGCCTAAAAGGGCAAAAGTACCCTTCATGCCCAGACCTGCAAGCAGGAGACAATCCTTAGAGGGTTGGACTGGAACAAGACCCCAGCAAGAACAGATGGAAGAACTCATGTCCTTTTCCCACCTCCTCACCCTCCTGCCCCCAAACCAAAGCAGAGTCACCCAAACAGGCCCCTCAGGGACCTGATCTCACCTGATCTCACCACAACTCCACGAGTTGGGCTCCCAGGGATGAGAGCTGCAGCCTCCCAGGAGCTCACCAGGCGTGAGAAGAAGTCAAAATCCCCTCCGGGACTGTCTTCAGTATACTCAGCTGTGGGGCTGGGGCAGTAATAGCCTGAAGGGTAACAGCAGAAATGGGGTCAGGGTTGAATGATGAAACCAACCCCCCTTCCCCAATGGACCATCCCCCCTGCCTTCAGGAGCCCAGAACTCCTATGAGAAAAGGCTGAAACAATTGGGATTGTTCAGCTTGGAAAAGAAATGGCTTCAGGCTGACCTACCTGTGGCCTTCCATTGCCTGAAGGGAGCTGACAAGAAAGCTGAAGAGACACTATTTACAATGACCGACAGGAGAAGGGTGAATGGCTTCAAACAGTAGTTTTAGACTGGATACAAGGAAGAAATTCCTCCCTGTGAGAGGGGAAGGCACTGGCACAGGTTGTCCAGAGAAACTGTGGCTGCCCCATCCTTGAAAGCATTCAAGGCCAGGATGGATGGGGCTTGGAGCTACCAGGTCTAATGGAAACTGTCTCTACCTATGGCACAGGGGTGGAACTGGATGGTCTTTAAGGTCCCTTCCAGTCCAAACCATTCTGGGATTCTATGATTCTCTGAACTCCATCACTCCACCAAGGACACCCCCATATGAATAGCACAGGGTCTCTCTAATGGCAATGCTGAAGAGTTTTTAAACTACCAATGTGCTTAACGAGTTCAGTGGGATACACTGATACTGAGATTGAGCTGGCAGCCCCAAAAGCCAAATAGGCCTGCAAGCAACACGCTGAACTGGCTGCACAGAACAGCACCTGCTCTAAAATTGGGCATTACATCAACTTTCAAGACTGTAGCAAGCAAAAATGCAAAGCTGTAGATATGCAGAGGGATTCAGCTGAGGCCCTACAATTTGTCTAAACAAACTGGTTCTACAGGATACCGAAAGGCTTTCCCAGAAAAACACAGAAAAGGTTCTGTCCTAATGACACCAAGAGAAAGCTGATCAAGGCTTGCCTAAACACAGTGACACTGATGGCAAAAAAGTTGACATTTCAGGGCAAGATGTGTTCCCCTGGAAGTGTGTTTCTGTCTGGAGGTAAAACCTCTCCAGGTCAGCACGAGTCATGTCCTGGCCGGGCCCAACCAATACCTACGCCAGTGACGAGGACCCAAGCACGGGGTGGCTGTTCAGCATCAACAATGGCTTTGGCCAAGGTCTTTGTGGTCTCAACCCGGCTGCTGATGACTTCCCTGCAGAAGGCAGCACCCCATCTGGGAAAGAGAGAGCCACAGATGATACTCCTCACAAGGAGGAACCAGGAAACAACAGCACCAAGGAGGGCCCCAGCAGACACCTGCTCCCAAGCACAGGAGAAGTCATGGGAACTCCCCCCACCCCAGAGCAGTGGGAGGACATGTGATCTTACAACTTAAATGCAGGGGAACTTTGGGAGATGGTGGCTCTTCACTTCCTTCAAAACACTGTGAGTTTTGGACTGCCTCAGGACAAAGGCAGCAGAGCAGCTGGACACCAGAGATGGTGTTCCTCATGGAAGTCAAACTTTGGTTCTGATTTTGCATTATCTAATGCCCTTTTGGAAATACGAAACTAATTTTTCTGACTTCCAGCTGTAGATTCAGAATGGAATCTTTCTTCCAAAGGTCTCTCAGGACCTAACAGACCCACAGAAATGTTTTGGATATTTAAGGCTACAGATGTCAACAGTTAGTTAACCCAAGAGCTTCCTGGACATGTTGTTTCCTCCCTTTCCACATTCTCTGACAACACAGGACTGTCTTGCCTTCACCTTGTCCCAACAGCACTGTGGGAGATCAAGTCACCTGCGGAAAGGGTTGAGCACATTTTCGCCAGCCAAGTTGACCACGGCATCGCACAGGGGCAGTCCAGTGCGGGACACGTCTTCCTAGGCAGGAGTAACAGAGACACCACATAGCAAGCCTGCCCTCTGCTCAGGCCTTCCCAACAACCAAGCAGGGCAGGCTCCTGAGAACTCCAGCTAATTCCTTCCTGACACTGCCTGGAGCACAAGCATGAACCGAGAAGGTTTTGCTCCTGGGAACTACAGCAGTACCCGTCCCAATGACTGTGACCCATGGAGCACCCAGCAGCCCAAAAGTACATCCACAGGAGCCAGATTCCCTGCGGAAGATTCCCTCTATGCCACGGCAGGTCAGGGCAAGCGGGCTCGTTCTTCAGCCCTGCCAAGGCTCCCTCCTGTGACCGCTCTCCTCTCGCACCCAGCTGATCCGATCCTTGCCCCCCTGTCGAGACACATGGGTCACTTGGTGCCCGCGGCTCCGCAGCAGCTGGGTCAGAGTTCTGCCCACGAAGCCAGTCCCTCCACCTGGGGAGAGATAGACAGGCCGTCACCCGGGACCTGCACCGCGGCTGGGGGGGCATCCCTGCGGGCCAGGGAGCCCCCGCCGGGCCCCGCACCACGGGCGGGACAGGGGGCTGGCTCTCTGCAGAGCTGCGTCCCGATCACAGGGTCCCCCGCTCACTGACCCCGCACGCTCACTGTCCTCCCCCTCCCTCACTGTCCCCGCACACTCACGGTGTCCCCGCACACTCACGGTGTCCCCGTCCCTCACTGTCCCCGCACACTCACGGTGTCCCGCACACTCACTCACGGTGTCCCGCACACTCACGGTGTCCCCGTCCCTCACTGTCCCCGCACACTCACGGTGTCCCCGTCCCTCACTGTCCCCGCACACTCACTCACGGTGTCCCGCACACTCACGGTGTCCCCGTCCCTCACTGTCCCCGCACACTCACGGTGTCCCCGTCCCTCACTGTCCCCCCCCCCCAGCAAAGCCCCCCCCACTCACCCACCACCACCCTCATGGCTGAGCCGCGCACGCGCCAGGCAGCGCCGACAGCGCACGCGCCCTGCCGCCGCGCGCAGACGGCGCCCCCCGGCGGGCGGGAGGGCACCTGAAGGGCCGGCCCCGCGGGGGAGGCTCCGCTCCGGGACCGGGCTGGGACACCCGCCGGGAAAGGACAGGGGCAGCAGCCACAGCGCGGGGCTGGGCGGGAGCGGGCAGACGGCAGCCCAAGGAGTTCGTCAGGGCGTGAATTAGTTCGTTAAAAGAGCTGAAATAAATGCTCGGAGAAGCTGTGGCTGCCCTGTTCCTGGTCGGACGGGGCTTGGAGCAACGTGCTCTAGCGGAAAGTGCCGGTGCCCATAGTAGGGGCGTTGGGCAGGATGGCCTTTAAAGGCCCCTTTAAACCCAAACCCGTCTGGGATTCTATGATTCTGTCATCCTATGAACTGGTTATTGCTAATCAAAAGCAAAGAACTGTGCGGTTGGGAATGAGGCTGGGGCTGTTCTCATTGACCCCAAGCTTCCCTTCCCTCTTGACACCTTCCTTGCTGCATGTCTCCTCACGGGCATGGGAAAAGAAATTCCTTCGAGGGTGTAATTCTGCCACTGCACTTGAAATGTCCATTCTGAGATGTGATAAAACACACACTGGAGACACGACTGCCCATCTGCAGGTAGCGGGGTCAGCCTTTGCTTCACGCAGAAGCCTGTTGTGTCATCTGCTGTTATCCATGGCCTGTGAGGAGCAGAGGGTGACACCAGCGTGTAAGCAAGATCTCTATGCATTGGTACCCGTTCTGAAGCAGTAAGTGCTGGAGATATTTCTGCCTACCTATCTGCAGCTCAGTCTGTCCTTGTCTGCACACACAGCCATAGCCATTGCTCCACCTCTCTGTCCATCTGTCCTCCTTCCCCCATAGCCCGCTCTGTCATAGAGTCACAGAATCATTAAGGTTGGAAAAGACCTCCAAGATCATCAAGTTTGACCAAATACCACCATGTCAGCTAAATTGTTGCACTAGGTGTTGTGTCCACTCTTTTCTTTGAACACTCCAGGGGTGGAAGTGGCTCCACCACTTCCCTGGGCAGCCCTCAGCTGTCCTTATCCCTTTCACCACCAGCTGTATAAAAGAGGCAGGTCCTGTGGTAAGCAAAGCAGGAACTGGGTTTCTAGGAGGAGCCAGCTGGAAATATGAGACTAGGAGTTATTTGCACAGGAAAAGGCATCCCTGTGGTTCGGAGGATGAAAGGTGGAGATGAACACCTGGTTTCTTGTGTGGCATGTACTGGTAGATGTGTGGGTGAGCAGGAGCTACTCTCCATACACAGTGTGGTCTGCTCAGCCTCTGTCTGCTGGATGGGTCCCAGTGGTGATGTTAGCTGGAGGTGCTTGCACATTCTCCTTCTAACTCCCCCATAAAGTACAGATGGCTGTGCCTGAGTGCAGCCTAGTAGGTCCTACAATGTAAAATGTCAAAAAAAACAGTTGTAAGGGACCTTTGGATATGTCTCAAACTTGTATTTTCCCTCCACATGCATCTATCTCATGGAGTTTCACTGGATAGAACTTCCTAGAAAAACAAAATCCAGCATGCCATTTCTCACTTCCTCCTCACAACTGCACTTATCCATTGTTGTGGTTTTGCCTTGGGTTAATTTGCATTTACACCTTCCATACAATTACCATTAGTTGAGAGAAGGTTTATGCAGATAAAAGAGACTGAATTTGGGGAAAATAGTATGAGCATTTATTACTAATAAGTTAAAACTAAAGAACTATATCTACGACAATTCTATTTAAGTAAAAGGTGCTATGTATTTACAGAAAAATACTTCTCCCCCCCCCTTTATATCAGTCCAAGGAGGAGAAGCAGTTTCCATCTCCATTCTTGGAGTTCCAGCTCTCTCTCCAGTAACTCTGCAGCACCCTCGTCACAGCTGGAACTCTTTCTCTGTGTCGGCCTCCAGGGCTGGGCCTACCCCCCACCTCCTGGGTTAAGGCCGGAGGCTGGGGGATTACTCTGGTCCTGAAGGTTTTTCTTCTATAGGCTTGCAAGGGGACACTTGCTTACTATGCATCTTCTTCCACAGGGTTACAGGGGATAATGGTTTAAGAGTCCACCCCTGTTTCCCTATGGAGGTCCTTCTCCATGGGAGAACCGTCCTTGATAGACCTCTCCAACACGGTCTAGCACGGATCCCTTACTTGGATCTCCACATCTTACCCGGGCCGTCCTTGCTCTGGCGTAAGTCTCTTTCTCAAGGATACAAATCTTTAGTAGTAGCATGGATCCCTCACTTGGATCCCAAGCTTACCCGAGCTGTCTGCTCTGGCGTAAGCCTCATTCCTTTAGGGCTATAAATCTTTAAGAGCAGTATGGATCCCACACACAGATCCCAGTATCCCACCTGAGCCGTCATCACTCCAGCATGGGTTTCCCTCAGGGTCACAAAGTCTTCAGCAGGACTTTGCCTTATCTCAGTCCTTTTCGTGAAGTTTCAATTCTCTGGTACATCCACAAGCTCCTCTGTGAGCTGCATGGGGGTCTCCTCACCCCAACAAAGTTTCACAGGTAGCAGGGATTTTATTTTTCAGTCTTTTCCCTGATGAAGGGAGGGAGAGCGAAAGGGGGAAGAAGCAGCCCCCCTCCTTTGAGTCTTTCTTCTTTCTCCTCCGGCTGCCAGCGTCGACCTTGAACACTTTGTTATCTCTTCACTGGAATTTCTCTGCAGCGGTTTCTGTCCAAGTAGTCAGTCTTTTAAACTTTTTTTTTTCATCACTCTCTTACAGAAGAGAAGGGGAGCTTCAGTGCCGCACCTGCCCCCCACCCCGACCCAAGCCGGGGGAGGAGGGGACCTGGCTCTTCTCGGGCCCGCTGCTCTTCTGCATGGCTGCTGCCCCTAATTTCAACTGCGACACAACCCTTCTCTTCCGTTTTCTTAAAGATGTAATTAGCAAAGGCGTTACTGAAAGTTTTGATTGTTTTTTATGTCCGGAAACCCACTTGGACAAAACCATCCACAGCCCCAGGGATGGGCTGCTGGGCAAAACCACGACACAGTCCCCCTGTATTCCAGGAGGAAATAGTCAGTGACTTACTGAGCCACCTGGATCCACACAAGTCCATGGGACCAGATAGGATCCATCCTAGGGTGATGAGGGAGCTGATGGAAGGGCTCACCAAGCTGCTCTCCATCATTTCCCAACAGCCCTGGCTCTCTGGGGAGGCCCCAGACGATTGGAAGTTGGGGAATGTCACACCCATCCACAAACTGGGCTGCAAGGAGGACCCGGGAAACTCCAGGCCTGTCAGCCTGACCTCAGTGCCTGGCAGGGTTATGGAACAGATCATCCTGAGTGCAATCACACAGCACCTACAGGATGGACAAGGGATCAGACCCAGCCAGTACAGGTTTAGGAAGGGCAGATCCTGTCTGAGCAACCTGATCTCCTTTTATGATCAGCTGACCTGCCTGGTAGATGAGGGGCAGGCTGTGGATGTGTCTATCTGGACTTCAGCAAAGCCTTTGACACCGTCTCCCACAGCACACTCCTGGAAAAGCTGCAGCCCAGGGCTTGGACAGGGCACTCTCTGCAGGGTTAGGAACTGGCTGGAGGGCCAGGCCCAGAGAGTGGTGGGGATCAGGGCTGCATCCAGTTGGGATCCAGTCACCAGTGGTGTCCCCCAGGGATCAGTGTTGGGCCCAGTCCTGTTTATCATCTATATTGATGATTTAGATGAGGGGATTAAGTCCACCATTTCCAAATTTGCAGATGACACCAAGCTGGGGTGGAGTGTTGATGAGCTGGAAGGCAGGAGGGCTCTGCAGAGGGACCTGGACAGACTGGAGAGTTGGGCCGATTTCAGCGGGATGAGGTTCAACCAGGCCAAGTGCCGGGTCCTGTCCTTTGGCCACAACAACCACTTGCAGCGCTACAGATTGGGGACAGAGTGGACGGAGAGCAGCCAGGCAGAAAGGGACCTGGGAGTTTGGATCGACAGGAAGCTGAACATGAGCCAGCAGTGTGCCCAGGTGGCCAAGAAGGCCAGTGACATCCTTGCCTGGATCAGGAACAATGTGGCCAAGGAATTGATTCCCTGAGTCCAGGGAAGTGATTCTTGCCCTGAACTCAGCACTAGTGAGGCCACACCTTGAGTATTGTGTTCAGTTCTGGGCCCCTCAGTTCAGGAAGGATGTCGAGGTGCTGGAGGAGGTCCAGAGAAGAGCAACCAGGCTGGGGAAGGGACTCGAGCACAGGTCCCATGGGGAGAGGCTGAGGGAGCTGAGGGCTGTTTAGGCTGTAGAAGAGGAGGTTCAGGGGAGACCTCATCAAGCTCTACAACTACCTGATATGAGGTTGTAGCCAGGTGGGAGTTGGTCTCCTCTCCCAGGCAGCTATCAGTAAGACAAGAGGGCATGGTCTTAAGCTCTGCCAGAGCAGGTTGAGGCTCGATATTAGGGAGAAATTCTTTGCAGAGAGGGTAATCAGACATTGCAATGGGAGGCCCAGGAAAGTGGTGGATTCTCCGTCCCAGTAGGATTTTAAGATGAGACTGGATATGGCACTTTGTGCCAGGGTCTATTAAGCGCAGTGGTAGTGTTGGTAGTGTCATCAAGACTTGGACTTGATGATCTCAGAGGTTTTTTCCAACCCAGCTGATGCTCTGATTCTGTGATTCATTGTGTGACCGACCTTTTGTTCTTTCTTTCGAGGTGGGATGCAGGCAGTTGTTGGGGCTATCGGCACCCGAGGTCAGATGAGCAAGATGAGCATTTTCCTGCCAGTAAGAACCAGATGGTACTTCTGGCGGGTTGTATTTTTGGTGACTCCAAGCATATCCTTTGTCATTTGTTTTTTTCCAGTGGTGCACAACCTGACAAGCGTCAGCAGAATGGGAAGTAGGTCCTTGCAGTAAGAGGTGAGCGTAAAGGAACTTGAGAGGGGAACTTTGGTGAGAATGTTGCACTCTAAGGGGATTCGTCTGTATGTGCCTTTGCCTCTGTGATTTCTTTGCAGTGCCCATCTGTATTCCCAGAGGAGCAGAGCCAC